AAGGGAAAAAAATGAGTTTTGGAGTCAGACAAACCTAGATTAAAATTTGAGTTCCCTTTCTTATTAGCTGTTGGCCAAATTCTTTATCCTGTCCAAGTTTCAGTTTCTTCATCTTTAAAATGGGAACAGAAATTAATGGAGGTCCACATGAGGTGATTGCGGGGACACAGTGCATCTGAGGTCTGTTGTCTCACGTGAAGGCCCAGGACAGTCCCTGCTACACCCACATTCTGCCACCTCGGAGGGGAGCCACCCCATCTGAAGGTCAGGCCTTCCTCCGCTACATGTGCCTTGCCCTGAAGGTTAGCTGGTCTCAAATTCCCCTCAGTGGCTGAGCTTTCCTGCTGGGGACCTGGGAGCAGGCAAACAGGTTTCACCTCTAGGAATCCAGCCCAGGCCCCAGGCACCTTGGTGGGACTCCCACCCCGTCTGGGCCCAAAGCCCTCCCTTCTTCATTTGAGCTTCAATAGTTTCTTCACTGGGAAATGTTTAAGTCTCCCAAGGGTTCATCTGCACCTCGCTGGGTGCCCTCAGCACCCCACAATATAATGAGTCAAATGGAACAAAGATAATCCTCTCTATTTTCAGGTGGGTAAATGGAGCCTCCAACGAACTTCCTTAAACGTGTCTTTACAGCCAGAGAAGTGGTTTACTCAAGGGGCTCTGGGAGGCCTGGGTGGCTGTGGGGATCTGGGGGAGCACCAGCCCCAGGACAGGAGATGAGGCAGCAATCCTGACTCTCAGGACCTCTAGCCCTTGCCCACTAGTGGGTTAGTGCTGCTCTTGGGGGCTGGCCAGGAGCTCGGTATCTGGTATTCACTCTGTGAACCTGGAGTACTGCAAACTTAGTAGTTTGGGGTGGGGGAAAGTTTGTCTATTAGGGCAAAGACGATTCACTGGTTGGGGGGCAGGAGTGTTGAGGGTGAGGGTGGGGACTTCTTGGAGAGTGGGAAGAGCAAGCTTAGCATCAGCCATGCCGTGTTACTGGACAAGTACCTGGCCACTCTGGGCCCCAACAGCCATATCTGTAAAATGGAGGTGGTGGGAGATAGAAAGGTCCCCGTCATGGGATCTTAGTGTTCTCAAGGTGCTCCTGGGGCCCAGTGTAACAAACCGTCCTCCACAGGTGAAAGCCACATGGCTGACCAGGGTCTCAGACCCTGCCTGACCACATACTAGTACCCAACATGCTGAGAACCTAAAGGTCTGGGGGGCAACCAGCAGATGGCGAAATGGCTGCATTGCTGAACTCCCATGTAGTTGACCATGGTTTGAGTCCCAGATCCAGCAGCTTAAAACTCATGCTGGGTGTCAGGGCTGGCAGGTGGTGTGGTAGTTAAGGGTGCTGGACTCCCACATGGTTGACCACAGTTCGAGCCCCAAACCTAGTGGTTTGCTTTCTCGCTTTCTTTCTCTCTCTCTCTTTCTCTTTCTCTCCCACTCTGTCTTTCTCTGGTCAAATCAGAAAGAATAAATAAAGTAAAATAAAATAATTAAAAAAAAACATTAAAAACTTACGCTGGGTGCGTACCCAAAATCCTGAGAGGAGAATGGAGGAGAAGGGCGTGCAGCATGGCCATCTCCCCAGAGGAGTGATTTCTAGCTTTCTGTCTCTGTCTCTCTGGTGAACACATATGCCTTACAGCAAAAATCTCTCTCGAAAAAAGAAAAGATCAGTAGATGTCTGAAAAAAGGGAGGCAGCAGCAGGTGGCATGGTGGTTAAGGCACTGGAATTCCCACATGGCCGATCATGGTTGAGTCTCGGACCCGGTGGCTTGCTTTCTCACTCTCTCTCTGTCTTTCTCTGGCAAAACTCATGTGAAAAAATAAGAATTACAAATAAATAGATAAATAAAACAATTCTGTTTTTTTTTTTTTTTTGAGAGGTTTTCTCTATAGGGCGCGTGCGCTCGCCAGAAAGAGACAGACAGAAAGCTAGAAATTACCCCCCAGGGGAGACAGCCATGTCACAATCCCCTCTCCTCCATTCTCCTCTCGGAATCTTGGGCACGCATGCACACGCGCCCGGTGTTTAAACCACCGAGTCCAGGACTTGAACAGCGGTCGACTACATGGGAGTCCAGCGACACAGCCGTTATGCTAACTGCTGGTCCAAATAAAACAATTCTTAACTGCGGTGTGACAAGGTCCTGTGGAAGTGCTCTCTGTCTCTCTGTCTCTGTCTCTCTCTCATGTGCACATACTATCATTAAAAAGAAGGAAAGAAGGAAGGAAGGGAAAAAGAGAAAGAAAGAGGGAGAGGAAGGAAGGAAGCAAGAAAGAAAGAAAAGAAGGAAAGAGAGAAAGAAGAAAAAAAGGAAGGAAAAGAAAGTGCTGTCCTGGCCCAGCCTCTCCCTATCCCAGACTGTCCCTGGGGCCTGACTTCACCAGGTTGGCTGACCAAACCTCTGACACCATTCGGCTGTCTCCACCCTGGAGGGGCCAGGGCCTGATCTAGCTCCCCATCAAGCTGGGGCGGGGCAGGCAGCAGTCTTGGTTAGACCAGGGGCAGGGGGAGGGGGCCCTCCAGGCCCACATCTGACCTCTTACGTCCCTTCCCCTGTCCCTGGAGCCGGCAGGCATCCTTCCCTCTTTTCCACCCCCCCCACCCCCATCTTGAAATCCGAGCTCAGGATCCGGGAGGACTCTGGCTGCAAAACCTTCCATCCAGTTGTCCAAACAGTCTGCACAGCTGGCGGAGGGAGGGCAGCCAGGGCCGGCCTGCAGGAACCCTCAGGCTTTTGTTTCCCTGGACATGGGGCTACCTCACTCTGAGGGCCAGCCTTGTGGGGACTCACAGGATTGAGGGGGTCAAAGAGAGAGCCCCCCACCTTCACCACACACACATACACACAGACTATTGGGTGTGGCTTGCCCAAGGCCTCCCTGCTCAGCGCCCATCCCCTGCTAGAGAAGACCCAGCTGCCGCCAAGTCCATCCAACCAGGTGTGCAAGGCTGCCTATCCCCCGCCAGCCAGCGGGTGGCTGGGCAGCGGGCAGGAGGGCGTGGGCCTTGCAAGCCTCCCCTCGTGACTGGGCTGGACGCTGGGCGGCAGGGGGAGGGCAGGAGGAATGAGGCCGAGATAGCGAGCAGGGAGGTGGCTTCAGGCAGCAGCTTCTACTGCCAACCTGTCCCAGACCCGGCTGCCTCTTGGCTCCCACTCCCAGGTGACCAGGAATGTGTTTCTAAGCCTCAGTTTACTCATCTGCAAGAGGAAAGGGTCAGGCCCTTTCAGGCTCTGATTTTTCTGAGAAGTCACAAGACCCCCACAGCTCCCCGTCCCCACCAAGCTGTGTCCAAATGTCTTGAAGGTCACATTTTCTCTACAGTCCCCTTAGCTCTGACTTGATTTCCCCTGAGAGGCTGGCTGGGGCTTGGTAGGGAGGGACCAAGGCCCACTCACTGTGCCACCAGCCAGGCTCTGCCCCTTCCCCTCCTGCCAAGACAGGGCGATGGGGAGACCCCTCCTTTTCACACATCCTGTTTTCATTCGTCGTTCCCAGGTGGGCCCAAAGGTTGCAGGGCAGAGGAAGGTGAAGGCACAGGAGAACTTAGCGAGGGATCAGCCTCAGCAAGATGCAAAAACAGGAAGGGGGTGGGAGCAGGCCACGGAAAATCCACCGCAGGAAAGGGAGGCCAGCATCTGGTTCACATTAAGCCGAGGGAGCTTCGAAGCCCAGCGGAGATAGCATTATCCGCTGGGCGGGGCGTGTCAGCTGGTGGGGACCTGGCAGAGACCAGAGGCTGACAGGAAAGAAGAGGGACGGCAAGGGAGAAGGGAACAGAAAATTCTCCTTTTAGTCTACAGTGTGACAGACACTGGTCAAATGTTATCTTCTATGATAATCACAACTGCACAGGGCAGAGCTCATTCCCCTGTTATGGATGAGGGAACTGAGTCTCAGAGAGGTTAAGTGACTGGCCCAAGAACACACAGCAAAAGAATGGCAGAAGTAAGATAGGAATTAAGGCCCAATGAGATAGGGTAACACACTGAAACGATCCCATGTTGGCTCAAGGCTGACCCCTGGCCAGGCAAAGGAGCTCTGAGAAGGATTCAGTGACGAGGGCAGGCCAGCTTCTGCCACAAGGTCAGTCAGCTTTTGTGGGGGTGCCTAACAGTTCCATGGCTCACGACCCTAACCAGCTGAGAGCTCTCTAACCAGCCGAGAGCTCCAGCCTGGTGTCTGCACAGGAAGAAAGCAATTCGTGGGGGGGGTGGGGGGAGGCATGAGCAGAGAAAAATTTATCGGCATGGATGGGATGGGGGGGAAGTTACAGATCAAGGGACAATGACAGAAATAGGCAAAGACAAAT